ACCTAAACCTTGAAACTTCAACTCTAAACTCTAAACCCTGAAACTTCAAATATAAACCATCCTGAAACATAAAATTTACACCCTAAATCTAAACCCTAAACCCTCAAATTTAACCCTTAATCCCTAAATCCTATATTTTTCCGAAATTCGAATCCTATATTTTTCCGAAATTTGAATCCTAAACCCCAAAACCCTTAATATATTAAAATCCTGATGATATATTAATGTTCATGATAGGTTTCACGGTAATGTATTATAAGATTTGGAAAGCTTGAAGCGTGTTCAGGATGGGCTTCCGGATAATATATTAATTTTCAGGATAACGCATTATAAAATTCGGAAAGCCTTGAGCGTGTTCAAGATGGGCTACCAGATAACATATTAATCTTCAGGATAATGTGCTATACAATTTGGAAAGCCTTGAGCGTTTTCAGGATAGACTTCTTGGTAATATATTAATTTTGAGGATAATATATTATAAAATTAGGAAAGCCATGAACGTGTTCAGGATGGGCTTCCAGATAATATATTAATCTTCAAGATAATGTATTATAAATCTTGGAAAGCCTTGAGCGTGTTCAGGATGGGTTTCCTGATAGTATATTAATCTTTAGGATAGGATTTGAGGTTTAAGGTTTAGAGTTTAGAGTTTAGAGTTTAGAGTTTAGAGTTTAGAGTTGATATTTAGGGTTTAGAGTTTAGTATATTAATCTTCAGGATAATGTATTCTAAAATTTGAAAAGCTTTAAGCGTGTTCAGGATGGGTTTCTAGATTGAAGATAATGTATTATAAAATTTGGAAAGCCATGAGTGTGTTCAAGATGGGCTTCCAGATAATATATTAGTCTTCAAAATAGACTTTAAGTTTTAAGGTTTAGAGTTTAGGGTTTAGAGTTGATGTTTTAGGGTTTATGGCTTAAAGTTCATGTTTTAGGGATTTGGGTTTAGGGTTGATTTTTTTACGGTTTAGGGTTTAGGTTTAGAGTTTAGGGTTGAAAGTTTAGGTTTTAGGATTTAAGATAATTTTTTTAGGGCTTAGGCTTTAAAGTTTAAGGTTTAGGGTTTAGAGTTGATGTTTTAGGGTTTAAATTTTAATATATTAATCTTCATATAATGTATTCTAAAATTTGGAAAACCTTGAACAGTTCAGGATGGGTTTCCGGATTGAAGATAATGTATTATAAAATTTGGAAAGCCATGGGCGTGTTCAGGATGGACTTCCAGATAATATATTAATCTTCAAGATAAACTTAAGGTTTAAGGTTTAGAGTTTAGAGTTGATGTTTTAGGGTCTAGGGCTTAATCATGTTTTAGGGGTTTGGGTTTAAAGTTGAATTTTTAGGGCTTAGGGTTTAGGTTAGAGTTTAGGGTTGAAAGTTTAGGGTTCAGGAATTAAGGTAATTTTTTAGGGTTTAGGGTTTAAGGTTTGGGGTTTAGAATTGTGGTTTAGTGTTTAGGTTTTAGGATTTTGAGTTTACTTTTTTGGTTTAGGGTTTAGTGTTGATAGTAAGGTTTAGAGTTGAGGTTTTAGGGTTTAGAATTGAGGTTTAGAGTAATTTTTTAGTGTTAAATATTTAGAATTTATTTATAGGGTTGATGGTTCAGGGTTTTAAATTGAGGTTTAGAGTTTAGGGTTGATCTTTTAGGGTTTAGGGTTTAGGATTAGTGTTGATGGTTTAGAGTTTAGAACTGTGATTTAGGATTTATATTTTACTTCTATGGTTTAAGGTTTAGTGTTGATAGTAAAGTTTAGAGTTGAGGTTTTAGGGTTTAGAATTGAAGTTTAAGATTTAGAGTTTATGTTTTAAAGTTTAGAGTAGAAGGTTTAGGGTTAGGGTAATTTTATGAGGTTAAGGGTTTTGAGTTTATTTTTAGGGTTTAGGGTTATGTGTTGATGATTTTGGGTTTAGAATTGAGGTTTAGGGTTAATGTTATAGGGTTTAGATTTGAATGTTTAGGGTTTAAAGTTAGAATTGTTATTTAGGGCTTAGGTTTTAGGGTTTAGAGTTTATTTCTATGGTTTAGGGTTTAGTGTTGATAGTAAGGTTTAGAGTTGAAGATTTAGGGTTTAGAATTGAAGTTTATGATCTAAGGTAATTTTTTTGTGTTAAAAACTGAGAATTTGTTTTAGGATTTAGGGTTCATTGTTGATGGTTTAGGATTTAGAAAAGTTTAGAGTTTAGGATTGCTGTTTTTGAGTTTAGGGTTGAAAGTGTAAAGTTGGTATTTTTAGAGTTTAGGGTTTAGTATTGATAATAATGTTTAGAGTTGATAGTAAGAGAGTTGAGGTTTTAGGATTTATGATTCTTTTTTTATATATGTAGGGATATCAAAGTTTTTTATCCTATTGAAAATGTCATTTTTGTGATTTTCAACTTAAAGTGTTATTTTTGAGATGAAAACAAAAAAATGTGCTATTTAGGAGAATTGCTCTTAGTAATATGAGGATAAAATTCAATAAAAGAATTTTTAATCAAAGTATAAAGTTCAATAGTTTAATAATCTAGACGAGAGACAAAATACACAGAAATTCAACAAGAAACATGATACGATTTTACCTAAAATAAAACTAGAAATTGAATAACCACTATGCTTAAATAAAAATAGAACATTGCATCATCTAAAATAGGCATGTACATTTGTGTCGTTGGGTCGGATTTGAATTGAATTCTATCGGACGCTAGTTTTTTTAGTCCAGGTAATTCAGGCCTTAAACATTTGGAATTAAGAAAATCTTCAAAATTCTTGGTTCAGATCGGTTATGGGTTACGGGTTCGAGTTACGGGTTCGAGTTGATTCGGATATTTAAAATACCCGAAATTAACTCGATAGAATACCAAAAAAATACTTAAATATTCAAAAAACCTAATATTTATCCAAACCTAGTGTCTGAGAACACTCAAAATTTACCTGAATACCCGAACAGAAAACTAGAACCCAAAACTTTTAAAAAATATTCGTAATACTGAAAATATATCCAAAATATTCAAATATACCTAATACATACAAAATATTGGGTATACATGATCGGGTCTCGCGTAAAACCTGTTGAACCAAGACCCGCAGATCCAAAATAAAAAGATCTAATAGGTACTTAAGCATAGACCCAGATAAACCTGTATTTTTGGATTGGCTCAGATTTGGATTTTTGGATATGTATAAAATGTCGAGACCTAATCTCAAATATCAAATTAAGCCATGTAGGTGATGACTAATAAATGATTCATGAGTAGTGTAGAAATATTTTTATAGCCAAATTTTTTTTCTAAAGCACAATTCTACTCCAATCGTGTTTTAAAAAATATTTTTAAATTACAAAAAAAATAATATTTATTAGTTTTAGAAATCAAATTACCTAGAACACTTATATCTTAGTTCTAAAAGATTATTAAGTAAATAATTAAAGTTTTGTAAAGCTACAACAAAAATTTTACAGCAAAAATTTATAAAACTACAGCAAAAAAATTGCAGCAACAATTTTACAATAATCTATATTATAATAGTAGAGTCTCTAGGTTCTACAGTGCGCCACATCAACAATTTTGTGGGTCCCGTGTATCTATATTATAATTGTAGAGTTTTTAGGCTTCACAGCGCGCTACATCAGCAGTTTGTGGATCCCGCGTATGTTTTTGAAAAAATTATAGTCTTGGTAAAATGATTATGAACAACGAAATACACTTTAGCTGAGTGGTATAAGGTGTCTAATTAAGCTTGCAAGTGCGTTGGTTCATTGTTTTAAAGATCAAACTAATTGGATAAATCCCAAAGCTTAACAAGTTCAAACCCTAAAAAGTTAAAAATGGATCCAAAAATGAACAACCTAAAAAACAATAAACAAAAAACGAGTCTCACGCCGTTTCCTAGGCGGATGGCTTAAGGAGATTTAAAACTGTTCTATTATAATATAGCTCAACCCAAAAATAATAAAAAATGATCCAAAAACGAACAGACAACAAAAAATGAGTCTCACGCGGCTGCCTACGTAGATGGCTTAAGGAGTCTTGAATAATATAGATTAGGAGCTCAAAAAATTGAATCATTACACATATTTCCTAATATATATTTTCAAAAAAAAATTGTATGTGAAATAAAATTAAAAAACAACAAATTTTAAGTATTTTTTGTTATTTATTAAATGAATATGTAATTTCTCTTACATTTTAATAGCTACTATAATTTTATTGAAAACATTCCTCACCACCGACTCCAGATTCTGGCGAATGGATTCCCACAGTCGATGACGTTGTAGATAAAAATGTCACATCATTTATGAACAAAATCCAAACTTACAAAAAAACATATATAAAAACTTATCTAATGAAACCTAAACAACAAATATTAACATAATTAAGATTATTTTCAAATTGATAAATGGTTTAATACAAAAATAAAATACTATAAATATAGAATTATATCAATTTTAGACCTATGATATAAAAATTATTTACAGTAAAAAAAAAATAGACACCTACTTTTACACACTAAAAACTATATTATAACCTAATTATTCCTATAAACTTTACTTCGCACATAAGTAACATTTAACACATTATATATACAATATTTTCACTTTACATTCTTGCTACATTCTTTCCATTTCATTGTTATTTGGTGTCATTAGAAGAACGCACTAAACCAACAATCGAAAAAAATACACGTAAACACAACGGATCCGGCTCCGCGCTTGCGCAGAAAATATGCAACTATTATATACAATAGTACAGCTCACACATTCCAATCAAACCCTTGGTCAAACCCCTATTTTAAGACTCAAACTCTTACATTCGAAAAAATAAGAAGAGAAATAATAATTCACAAATTTATATAACCAAATACTTCAGTTAAAAAACAAAAAGAGACCAAAAAAATTGACCAAGAACTTTTTGCGCGAACCGTGCCAACACCCTAGTAGTTTGATAAACATGTTAACTATGTTATTCATCTTCATTTTGGAAGAAGAAAACACTTAATTCAGTTTTTGCGTAAAATTGATGAAATCTTGTAGATTTATATATGCATTTGTGTTCCAGAAGATGATGGTTTTTTTATTTATATATAAACTAGTAGTGAAAATATAAAATGAAAAACAAAAGTTTGTGGTAAACATTCCAAAAGAGAATTAAAATAAAATTATATTGCACGAGGTGGTTTAGCTGCGAATCCAAGAAGGCTCCAAACCGAACAGCTTATCGCCTCGGTTTTGAGCAGGCGATGATGATGTTCGGGGTGGTGGTGCATGTACCGTGATCGGAAGAACCCATTCGCTTTTTTCCCTTTCCGGGACTAACAACGGATGTTCAAACCTGTTGTATTTAAACAGGAGAACCAAAAGAAACTGATTTCAAAACCTTGACCACTTCACAAGAGATTAAGAGAGAATTAATACCTGCTCAAGTCCACATCCTTCGGGGTGATTAGGAACTCAAACCGAAGAATCCATTGCACAGAAACACGGGGTGTAGTGAACGACATTGGACCATCCGTGGGAATCGAGAAAAGAAAGCTTGTCTGAATAAGGTCTGCCACCACTTCATGGTGATCGCTTTGGACCTGTTGAGAGAAGACGAATATTATGCAATGTAGTAGCAAAGAGAGACGAAGTCAGAGTAAACTCTTCTGTATTTGTACCTTTGTATGCGTTGGAGAACTTCTCCTAGACGGATGAACAAATTTTCTGTTTATCGTCTCTGAAGTTTCTAGTGTAACCGATACCTGAAAAATCAAAATCAACAGACCCTGGTGTAAACATATAGCCTCAACTTCAGAATTATGCACCAGAAATTATATATCATAATGTATTACCTCCAGACATCTTCTAGCTCCTTCATGGAAGAAAGTAAGAGTTCCACCAATCTGCAGACAATTTTACCACTGGAGGTAAATAAGGCAGGAAATGTTATAAAAGAATTTGAAATGATATGGAACTGCCATTACGTTATCGCTGAAGTAATAAGTAGAGTCTGCATTCTTTGGGGAAAATCTAAGAAGAACTTGGTCATCCATTCTGATATTGTAAGATCTTCCTCGTGTGAATCTTTCTGCTGCAAGAAAATGATTACACTGGATAAGTTGCTATTTGCAGAATCAACAGACAAATGAAGACTACAACATGTGAAGTATTCAAATTGCGAGAAGGTTGAGAGAGTAGACTAGTTTACATGGAATTGGTTCTCCAGCTCCAGCTTCAGGTGAGTTAGGTGCTCCTGCGCCATTTGTCTGCTTGGGCTGTTGGCTTGGATTCATGGAATTTGATGATTTACCAGGAGAAAAGCCATCTAGTAGGAAAAAGATGGAAGCATTCTTTAGTAATCCTCTTCTTGCTCACGAGTACATAGAGCTAAAATTATTTTCAGTATTGCTTGAAATCAGCCTTCTACTGAAGACAGAAACAGTTGAGTTGCACACAATAGAAGGGTTACATGAAGTGGTGACATTCTTAGTGACCCAGCTAAATAATCGATGTTTGAGGAAATTACATGCACATTAACACTCACCAGGTCCAGAGTCGTAAGACACCACAGCAGCTGATAACTGAGAAACCATTTCTTTTGGAGATGATCCAACACCTTCAATATATGACGTGGCATTCATAGATAATCTTGGTCCAGAATTCAAGGACAATGAACTACCAAAAGCTCTGTTTAAATTTCCTTTGTTCGGATAAGAAGAAACAGAGGAGATCTCATCGCGTGAACTGTCATATCCATCCTCACCGCTATCATATGCGTCATTTGCTCTAGTCTACATTAAATAAATTTGGTTGATTGTTATTATGACCAGCATGCAAATGAGCCAACAGGTATACAAAAAGCTGTAAAAGCAGTAGTAAAGTAGATTAACAGTAATATGATACAACTGTGAGCATGCCATACCCATTCTGAGTCTCCATCCATCCCTTTCCAGTATATTTCTGTCTGGATGGTACTTGTTGGAACAATCCCTAAGAGAAAACGTAAGATGCCCATCAGGTTAATGTCGTCCAACATACGGGAAAAAAAACTTCCTACGTTCGTCCAAACATAGGCAAAAAAATCATTTAAAATTTCCAGTTAGTAATTTGAGAACAAAGCTTACCATCAGTGTGACTTTCCTCTAAAAGCAACCCATTGTTCTTCTGTATTCCCCATACTTGAATCGGGACTCGAGTCTCCTGTTGATATATCATACAGGATTACAGGTGTCAATATTATGCCAACTTCGATTATAAAAATCTAATTACAAATGGGAAAATATATTATATCAGAAAAACAAGAGTTCTAATACCAAATGCATTCACTTAAATATATTCTATCAAGCATCATGACAAATGAGGCTGTAACTGAGTTCACTATGACATATAACCACGCGTACACCCACTCTAGAATCATGGCATCCAATTTCTGGGATAAATTTTTATCAGGATAACAAATCAGGAAAAGTGACAATTCTACTTGATTAAAAGGATACTACAATTAGTTGACCGAACTACTAAACTCACTCCAGTGACAAATCGGCCAAAGAAAACAAAGTAGGTTCATGTGACACCGATTGTTTTCCAAGAACATCTAAAACTAATCCTTGCTTTATACCTCATGCTTCAACCTCATACTTTGAACAGAAATCCATGTGCATCGCCATTCCATTTGTCACAAGGAAACTACAAGTAGATGATTTAAGACTGTTGAATTACTCATAAACAGTCGTTTGATTGTCTTATCAATTAGGCAAGCAGGCTAGAAACCAAAGGATGCCTAGTTTAGTACTATACTAAGAAACATTATGTTCCAATCTCATACTCTCTTCTACAAAATCAAGTCTTCACAAGAAAGCAACAAATGTTTTGGTTTACCCCAGTTTAATCTTCAAACAAAGCACAATGTATTTCTCCTATAGAACCTAAGAGAACACGGAGAGTCAAGTTAACTAACCACTTCGATGAAGTCTTTTGTCGAGTCTTTGTAAAATTGACTGTTTTCTAATGCCATCGATCTTCCGCTTAATGTGCTCTTGATATAGTAATGGTAACGTAAAGTAGCACCCTTATATGAAGGTGGTATAATCTGTGGGAGTGCAGCTCTAACCATTACTGTAGATGGAATTACAAACAAAGATGGCTGTGAGCTCAAAGATTGACATTGTGAGCCCTAGCAGTCGGCATCCATCATAGTATTGTTATTATTCATATAGAATTAAAGAGAGGAATCAGGAAAGATTACATGTCATCTTAGCACCGGGGGATAGGAGTTGATTAGAGATCAAGGATGGTGTTGAGCTGTCTAGGAAGATGTGTTCACCTGAAAATGTCCAAAAAAACTGCACGATTAGCACATCACTACAAAGGTATACATACAAGGCAAAGAACCTAGTATCTGTTTGTTCACTCAAACTTGTGAGGATACAAGGCAAAGAACCTAGCATCACTTTGTGTCACTCAAATGAAGCACTTTGAGTTTTAAATATATAACTTAAGCAATTAAGTTTCATAAACACTATAAAGGTGCAGTGAGCATCATTTCTTGAATGCAATATGCACAATGCCTCTAGAGAAAGAACCATGAAGACGGAAATTATAAGAAATTAAGGAAACACAAACAAAAATCACATAACTTAATGCTTACTTCTCCTTTTTTGTTAACTGCTTCATTGTATTGCATAGTTATTCTCACAGGCTAGACCACAAAAGTGAACCAGACACTTTCCAGAGTGTGAATATGTAAGTGTACGCGTATAACATCAAGATATTCAAAAGCATCAACCATTTAAGAACCCTCCACAAACTGATATAATAACATCTAATAGTTACAGTAACAAAAAAAAAAGAAAAGCTTTCTTCAATACCTTTTCGTCCTTTGATTCCTGGTGATGACTTTTGAGTAGAAAACCACTGAACGTCCAATTTCTCAACTCCCTTAACCTCAAAACTAAGCTTGTCAACCAAAACCGAGGGGGGGCTAGCCCCGTTCTCATGATCCCTTACAGGAGAATAACCAACCTCAAGAGTTACAAAGATAAAATCTCCAGGCCTGTACACATCTTTATCCGTCTGCAAACTTAGATTTGGTTTAATCTTGCTTACAGAAACACCCAAAGAGTCATTAACTTCGCTGGAACCACTTCCAATCCCCAAAAATGAAAACCTTGATGATAACATAGCTCCGTGTTCCTTAACAGATACAAGTATTCAGAGCATAGAGAAACCCTGAGAGCAAGTAAAATAAATCATAAGGTACACAGAATGTCTCGAAATCCACAATGCGTGTTTCGAAATAACGATGGTAGATCCAAGGAAGCAAGAAATTAGGGTTTCTAAAGATGACTTACACGTGACTTGGATGGAGCTAAGAAACCCAGATTCGAGGTTTCACAGATCAATTACTTTAAATCGAAACTCAGATCCAGAAACGAAACGACGCGAATCGTGTAGATCACAGAGCCAATTCGTGAGAATTTCACAGATCTCGTGGACAGTCAGATTCAACAGTGCTTCTACCTTGTGTGTTCGTGACAGCAAAGAAGCAGAGATATCAGGAGGATGACGACGCCGGGAAAAGTCCTTAGGAGAAGAAAGTCCGGCGATAGAAGCCTCCTCCCTCCGTCGCTAGAATCGAGAGAATGGGGAAGAAAGCAGCATAGAAGGTTCAGATTTCTACTAAACCGGGAATCAGATTAGATCAGTTCAGCTCCTGATCGGATTTTTCTCGTTTATTTCCCCCATTTGTTTATTTTTTTATTTTTTATTTTACTACATTTCATTATTATTTCCATTAAAAAAAATCTTTGGTTATAAAACAGGTAAATAAAAAAAATCAAAATTAGACATTAAATAAAGAAAAGTTACTCAAATATTAATTTTTAATATATTACTAGAATCATACAAAACTTTTTTTTATTACTATCATTTTTTAATATATAGTGTGTCTTTTTTATTACGTTTTGGAAAAAAAAATATTTACAAGAATGTCATTACTTTTTAATTCCACACAAACAAAACAAAGGTGCCACGTAGGAATGCGCTGATGTGTATTAATTAATTCATCCATAAAGCACTACAAACTTTGTTACGGGTGACTTATGGTTACTTTTAGTTGAGTTAAACAACGCGGCTGACTTATGAGAAATTAGCTGATTTACGAACATAACTCAGCCGTTGGGGATGGCTGATTTACAGAAATCAAGCTGATTTATGAGATAACTACTGACTTACAAACACAAGTTATGACTGACTTATACATCGACATGCTGATTTCTCAAAAATTTGGTTGAGTTGTAGTTAAGACATGGTTGAGTTATGTTCAGCCGGCTGATTTAATAATCATTCCCTAGCTGAGTTACTAAATTTATGTCTGACTTATGGGAGGTTAGTACAGCTGAGTTATATTTAATCAGTTGTAACTGGCTGGATTAGCAGCAAACTTAACTTAATTACGGCTGACTTATTAGTGAGAGATTAATTACTATAATAGCATTTTTTTGGCTGACTTATGGTTTTCAATCCTAATTACGGCTGATTTATTAGAAAAAGATTAACTACTGAAATAATATTCACATTTCAACTGACTTGACTTACGTTGTATTGATGGTTAATTTATTTAGGCTTAGTTATGTGTTTGTTTGGCGGCTGAGTTATGGTATTTATTCCTACTGAAATAATATTCATCATCAATGTCATCAGCTCTTACTTGCCATGTCATTACTAACATTACATCAGTAAAATAAGGGTTTATCGCCCATTAAAGTAAATATGAAGCTTCTCCTACGTCACGGCGACGCGTGAGCGTGCGTCCGTCAACGACATGGCCTCCTCTTCCTCTCCCTTTTTTTTCTCTTTAGCTGCTCGTCGTGTCCATGCTGGTCTCTCCGCCTTGCTCGTGGTTCTGGGTTTGTATGAGCTCTTCTGCAAATGGCTTCTGCACAAGGTTTGTCTTTCCAGTTGATCTTCTAGTTCTTTGGTGCGGTTGTAGTAGCGGTGGTGCTTGTGGGTGGTCGGCTTTTAGGGTTGGGAGTATATCGGTTTTATCCGTTTGATTTCCTCCCCTTTGTGTTTGCCGCTGTCAGGGTCTTTTTGTCATGGTGGCCTCTGCCATGTCTTGGTTCTGAAAATTGCTCTTCATTTGGAGTTTTGGCTCGTGGGCTCATTTTGGCGTCGAAACGGTCCGCTCCTCTTCTCGGTTGTTAGGTGAGCTCTGAAGCTTTTGTTATAGGAAGTGAGACTAGAGCTTTGGTGTGCAGACGGAGTTGGCACCTGGTCATGTCCAGTCTTGTGTTGTGGCTTTAGAGCGTTATATCCACTTGCTCTGCGGTGGGTTCCGTCGATCGTCTATGGTCTTCAGAGATTCTCTTTTTCCCAGTATCATCTTGGAGTCCCTTGACACGGTCGTCTTTCCAATGATTCTCGGTGAATTAGCGTCCGCTAATCTTCGGGCTTATGGTCTCATGGTGCTTTCACATTTTACCCATTCCGTTGACACCGGATATGGGTTCTTTCAGCGTAGTCTTGGTTCTCGGTTCTCAGTGGCCTCAAGTGGTGGAGACGGTTCTCATGGAGTCATTGACCACCTCCGTGTCAACTTTTGAAGTTAGAGTCCGAGCTCTGTAATAGCTTCTTTGCTCTCTTGCGGTGGTGTTACTTGATTTTCTATGCAGGATTTAGAGGCCTTCAGGTTTGGTGGTGGCGGTGACTTCAACCCGTTCTTGCTCAGTTAATGGCAATTTAGGGGTGGGCAAAACTAGAATGTAATAGATTGATTTGGGAGTTTTTTTCAAATCGAGTTTGTAACTGAAACTAAATTCCCATATTTTGAGTTGAAATATTAATATATATATTTAAAAAAATAATAATAATAAGGGCTTATGTTACAGACGCAATGTTTTATTCTTCATTTCATCTTCTTTATATATCTTTATCATCTTTTTCTTCGTCTATCTATGTGATCTTATGGACCTGGTAATTATTGCTTCCGACAACTAGATCTAAAAACATATATTTAAATATATATATGTATATATATATATATATATATATATTTATATATATATATATATATATATGAGACAAATCTACTATAGTCGCCGGCTTTAATGATGGTCGGTTAGAGAAGAAACTTCCTCTCCTCAAGGGTCATGTATGGTAGTCTGATATAAAGTTAAATAAAAAAGTAAGAAAAGGAGAGAAGATGAAGATTTTGAAAGCCGATTTTATATGTTTGATGACTCAGATGCTGCATCATCTAAATATGACAACTTTAGCTCATATAGTGAGTCTCCAAGATATATTTATGGCTGATTTATACATATGTTACGTCTGAATTATGCATATGTTGTGGCTGAGTTATACATACGTTACAGCTGGGTTTAGCTTAAACTATTAACCTAATTCTTAAATTTTAAATAATAAAATATATTAGATTTAATGTTCAAAAGATAAACTTTATAATTTTATAGTTTTATAGTTTAGAGTTTGAGGTTCAAATTTAAGAAAATATTAAAGCTTTAATATTGTTATCCTTGAAGAAATGATTTTTTCCCCGCCAAAAATACGAAACGTTGTGAAACACATTACACTTCATGGCTGACTTATAGGAACATCACGACTGACGTATACCATTAAAAATATGTTTCGACTGAGTTATGCATACTTCAAGGATGAGTTATGTATATGTTCTGGCTGAATTTAACTCCAAACTATAAACCTAAACTCTAAACCTAAACCTTAAATTTTAAAATAGTAAAACTATTCGATTTATTGTTCAAAAGATAAATTTTGTAACTTTTATAACTTTATAGTTCTATAGTTTAGGGTTTGAGGTTCATATTTAAGAAAGTATTAAAATTTTAGTATTGTGTTCAAAGTTGAATGATTTTGTTCCCACCCAAAATATGAAACCTCGCGAAACAAATTACACTTGGCAGCTAACTTGAACGTTACGGATAACTTATATCATTAAGATACTTTACGCTGAGTTATGTATACTTTACGGCTGAGTTATGCATACATTGCGTCTGAATTATAATAAAATTACGGCTGAATTACACATACATAATGACTGAGTTTGGTTACAATACGGTTTTGTTATAATCAAAGGCTGAGTTATGGTGACAGTACTGCTTTGTTATAACCAAGTCGACCACAAAAAATGCTTCTAACAGGCTCAAAATTCATCATCCAAACTTAAATTGAATTTAGAAACTGAAAAAGAAAAGAAAAATATGATTCTATAGATTAGGAATCAAGAGACATATCAATTGCATAAACAAGATAAATCTAAAAAAAAATCAAAAATCTGAGATAGATATATTGTAGTCGTCGTCGTCTTAATGGTGGTCAGTTAGAGAAGAAGCTTTCTCTCCTCCAATAGATCTGTATGGTGATCCGACATTTTGTTGCTCACTCTCTCATTGGATTGGTCATCTTATAAAAGAAGAAATAGTCAAAAAGAAAGAGATGAATAGGCTAAGTATCGTCAATTATAAGAAAATGAAAGAATGATTTTTGACCCTTAAATTTCATTTAATTAATGATCATAAATTGTGATTTTTGAAAATAACCAATAAGAAAAAAGAGTGGGGATAAACAAAAAGATAGTTTTGAACCCTTAGACTAAAATCAAACAATAATCATGAAAAAATAATATAAATTAAAATTTTAGTTATTTTCAATTTATTCTAAAAATTAATTAATATTTAAAGAATATAGTTAAGGGTTTAAATCAAGATTTTAAATGGATTGAGATTATTTTTTAGATGATTAATTTTTTTTTAACTCTAAACTATAAACTTAAACTCTAAACTATAAACTTAAACTCTAAACCTATCTTAAATTTTAAATAATAAAAAATGTTATATTTAATGTTCAAAAGATACAATATAATTAATATATATAGCAATATTAATTTATATACTCCCTCTGTTTCTTTTTGATACATATTCTAGAAAAAAAAATTGTTTCTAAAAGATCCATTTTTTACATTTTCAATGTATGTTTTATTAAATAGTTGTAAACTTCAAAAAACTTAATTGCACTAATTGATTTTTGATTGGTTTAAAATTATAGAAAGAAGATAAATACAAAAACCTATGCAAATTTATTGTGTTTTATTAAAAAGTGTGAAAAAACTAGAATATGGATCTTTTAAGAACAGAGGGAGTATATTACATGTAGTTTAATAAAAACGAATTTTTATATAAACCAAAAGAAGTATATTTAAAATATCTTTATCTAAAAAAAAAACCTTTTAATAAGATATTAAAACACTTTTTCTTTTTTTTCTCATGTTAAATAGAAACAATTTGTTGCGGCATATATTTTTAAATCAATAATATTTCTCTACAATTAATTTTAACCTAATAATATAAATAAATACTTATATTCCAATATCTAAAATTCTCACTATAAGAAAACACAAGTTTTGCTAGGACGTTTTTTCCTCGTAATTTCCTAGTAAAAGCCCATTTACTAGGAAATTACGAGGAGATACGTTTTGTCGTAACACGTTCATCGTAAAGGTTTTTTCTCGTAATTTTCTCCTAAATTTACTAGGAAAAATTTTCTCGTAAAAGCGTGGAGACACATTTCCCCGTAAAGTCCCCGTATAGTTTTCCTCGTAAAAGGCACATAAATTCTCCTCGAAAAAGCCTCAAAACATTATCCTCGTAAAGTCGTCGTAAGTCTTTTCCTCGTA